CCACTTGATAAAGGATTATAATTTTCATATCTTACACCAACTGCTGTCTCCTTACCCCCACCATTTCTGTTGTTTGTCCCCCTGGGTGTGTGTGTGTGGTTATGTGTCAATCATTGCGGTTGGTTCTTCTTTCCTCCCTTCCTCTCTCTACCTTTCCCCTACCCTCCTGGTATCGCTACTCCCATTTCTGTTCCTGGATTCCATCCCTGTGTTGTGAGCTCTTATCTCTTATCTGTACCTGTGGCCATGCTCTGGTTTAGCCTGCAGTGAAAGGGAGGACTGGGGCCATGATAGTGGGGGGTGAGGAAGTCTCAGGGAACCAGTGGAATATTGGGTGTTTCATTGGTGCTATACTGCACCCTGGTTGACTCATCCCTTCCTTTTGACCTTTTTGTGAGGGGATGTCCTATTGTCTACAGATGGGTTTTGGGTCTCTGCTCCAACCCACCCTGTTCTTAACCATATGGTGTGTTTGTTTGTTTGTTTTAGTTTTTTTGATGCCTGTTACCTGATCCAGTCAACACCTCATGATCATACAGGCTGGGGTACTTCTTCCATGTGGGTTTGTTGCTTCTCTGCTAGATGGCTGCATGTTTAACTTCAAGCCTTTAAGACCCCAGACCCTATATCTTTTGATAGCTTTCTTCACCACATTTGCTCTTGCACCCATTTTGTGTTCAGTGATCTTGCCATGAGGGTGAGCATCCCAGAATGCCAGGTTGTTAGAACAAAGTGTTTTTGCGTTGGGGCAGGACTTGAGCAGAGGCCCAAAGTCCATCCACTGCCTCAGTGCATTGCCATATAAATATATGTATATACACCGATACTTCTGTTTTTAAGAATTATTGCATTTACATGTGTACACGCCTATGTTTATACCTCTTTCCATCTTTGCTTCCTAATTCTTTCCTCCGTTTCATTTTACCTTCCTCCTTTCCCACCATCACACTTGCCCTTCTGCCTCTTAGTAATTCTTTTCAGCTAGATTGCTGTTGTTCCATCACTCCCAGGATCTCTACGTCATGGAGGATATTTTTTATTTAAATTTTTAAAAACCCAATTCACTGTCATCAAGTCAATTCTGACTCATGGTGACCCGATAGGGCAGGGTAGCACTGCCTCTGTGGGTTTCTGAGACTGTATCGGTTTATAAGCGTCAAATGCCTCATCTCCTATGGAGCTACTGGTGGTTTTGAACTGCAGACCTGTGGTTAGCAGCTTAGCAAGTAACCACTATGCCACAAGTGTTCCTTTTTCCTTTGTAACTAGTTTATTTTGCTTAGTATAATGTCTTCAAATTTCACCCATATGGTAGCATACAGAAAAACTTCATAAGCATTATTATTTCTAAATGAAGCAAAGCAATTCATTTTCTTGTTTAAAAGCACTTTACAATTCTAAATTCTTTGAAAAAAAATTTTAATAACAACTCTGCAGAAGACTTTACAAATTTGGTTCTTTTAGTGATGTGGTATAAAGGGTAGCATTTTTATTTTCCTATATTTATATCCAGATCTAAATATATTGTGATCTTCTGGACTGAGGGGATATTTTTATGTACTCGTTTTCCCACCTGCTAACCTAAGCTCACATGACCACTGTCTGTTAGTAGTGATGCAGGATGGAGCACATCTCTTCACAGAGTGTAGACAGAGAACAATGGGAGTCCTATGTTTAAATTTTTATCCCCATGGTTGCTGAGATGGGAAATTTCTGCTGTTATATGGCCATCCATTGCTCTTTCCTTAATTATATGAGTTAGCAGATGTGATGTGTCAGCCATTTCAGGTTCAAATTCCAGCTCTACTGTTTATTTACAGAATGACTGAAGTAAGGAAGTATTTGGATCTCTTCAAGGTAACCTAGCCACAATAATTATTATTTCAAAGCATTTTTTGAAGATTAGATGATCAACAGGGTGGCAAAGAAAAGCCACTAAAATATTTATTTATTTAGGCTTAAGGTATTGGGTCTCTGTTGGTTGTATATGAAATGTGACTAGATTTTCAAATTAAACGATTTCAAAAGCATGTATTTAAAATTTATACGTGATCATTGAACTTGCTGGCATCAGAGAAACTTTGAAAACTATTGCCAATTCCACTTTGTGGTTTTCATTATTGTTATTTTTCTCTTCTCCTTAGAATTCATATTGTGCCACTTTATTTTTATTTATTAATTGAGTTGTAATTAGCATATCATACAATTCAATGGCTCAGTCATATCAAGAAGGGCTGTGCAATCATTGTCACAATCCACTTTGGAACTTTCGCCCCTTATTTTAGACATTTATATTAATTTCCCATTTCCCTCTCCCTCCATGTTCCCAGGTCATCATCAATCCCATTACTGTTTTTGTGTTGCCGCCAATCCCAGGTTCCCTATACAGATAATTTTATAAAACTAGGGCAGACACCAAGTAATGATCCATCGAAAATGGCCATACAAAATTGGTTGAACAGTGGTCAGCTGCAATGAACATGGGTGTGTGTATGAATATATATATTATGTATGAATATATATATATATTCTTCTTTGGCTATTACTTCTTTTGGGTATATACCTAGCAAAGAGGTTGCTGGGTCACATGGTATTTCTATTTCTAGTTGCTTGAGGAAGCATCATACCTCTTTCCACAATGGTGGCAAACTTTTTATTTATTTAAATACTTTGTCATTTAATTTGTCCCAAATATTTAGTTGGGATTTAATACATATAACATATCAGTTCATATTTCAATCACATCATATAGAATTGTACCTACCATGGCTACTACAATTAGTTTCCAACCATTCTATTTCTACATGGATCCTCTACCGTACTCATATATATATTTTCAGCATATACAAACATATTTGTTTTAAAAAATATTTTTGCAATCCTATTTTTAACTACTAAGAATTTCTTCTTTTTCTTGGTATAGTTAAAATATTCGGATGATATTATAATTATTCAAAAATATTTTTTGGTGTTCTCAAGATTAAAATCCTCAGTGGTTATATTTCCTGATTTTGAAGTTGGATGTCTCTTATGCTGTTGGGTTTCCATAAATACATGTTGGGTCTTATGGTTTTGTCTGTATAAATAAGTGATTTCCTAGACACTTTCCAATATATGTAGTATTTAATGTTGGAGCATATTTCTTTACCCATATGAGAACAAGCAATTCCAACCATGGTTTCAGGAGCTGTATTGATAACAGATGTGCAAGGAAGGGGATGGGTGATGTACAGCTAAGGGATTTTTCTTTTTAAAATCAATTTATTGGGGGCTCATACAACTCATCGCAATCCATACATACATACATTGTGTCAAGCACATTCGTACATTTGTTGCCACCATCGTTCTCAAAACATTTGCTTTCTGCTTGAGCCCTTGGTATCAACTCCTCATTTTTCCCCTCCCTCCCCACTCCTTCATGAACCCTTGATAATTTACAAATTATTATTATTTTATCTTATCTTACACTGTCCGATGTCTCCCTTCCCCCACTTTTCTGTTGTCCATCCCCCAGGGAGGAGGTTATATGTAGATTCTTGTAATTGGTTCCCCCTTTTTACCCCATTCTCCCTCCACCCTCCCAGTATCGCCACTCTCAGCATTGATCCTGATGGGATCATCTGTCCTGGATTCCCCGTGTTTCCAGTTCCTATCTGTACCAGTGTACATCCTCTGGTCTATCCAGATTTGTAAGATAGAATTGGGATCATGATAGCGGGGGAGAGGGGGAGAAGCATTTAAGAACTAGAGGAAAGTTGTATGTTTAATCATTGCTACACTGCACTCTGCCTCATCTCCTCCCCGTAACCCTTCTATAAGGGGGTGTCCAGTGGCCTACAGATGGGCTTTGGGTCCCCAATCTGTACTCCCCCTCATTCACAATGATTTGATTTTTTGTTCTTTGATGCCTGATACCTGATCCCTTCAACACCTCGTGATCACACAGGCTAGTGTGCTTCTTCCATGTGGGTTTTGTTGCTTCTGAGCTAGATGGCTGCTTGCTTACCTTCAACCCTTTAAGACCCCAGATGCTATATCTTTTGATAGCCGGTCACCATCAGCTTTCTTCACCACATTTGCTTATGCACCCATTTGTCTTCAGCGATCGTATGGGGACGGTGAGCACACAGTTATATGATTTTTTGTTCTTTGGTGCCTGATAACTGATCTAAGGGATTTTGTTCTGTTGTGTTGGAGCATCTTCTTTTCTGAACACAGCAGTTTCCTGTCTTTGGTCTCCTCTATTCTGACACAGTACCCCCATGGGGAGGGAGTATGTGGTGTCAAAACCCCCACATCTTATAGCACAGGAATGTACTAAGAGAGGTAGAGTAGTCCTGATAGTCTCTAATTAAGACAAGCTTGGCTCTCTATTAAGATCCCCCAGACCCCACCCCATCCCACCCCTGCCACCCCTTTTAGCCCACTTCTTTCTTTCTCTTATGCAAAAAGGTAGTAAGAAATATTTTGTCCCTTCTCCTCAGGCTGTTGTAATTAGGTGCCATCAAGTTGGTTCTGATGCATACCGATCCTGTGGACAACAGAAGAAAACACTCCCCAGTCCTGTGCTGTCCTCACAATGTTCCTATGTGTGAGCCCATCGATGCAGCTGTTTTATCAAGCATGCTGTCCTCACAGGATGATGATTTTTGACCCAAAATATTTCCCCTCATTATCTGTCAAGTCATGGACTCCAGTGAACCCTTCAGAAATATCATCCCCTGCCCCCAGTAATTACGTTCACCATGAAAATACTACACCTAAAGATTGACTCAGAAGCACAAAGAGTTATTTTTCACTAGAAATTGCCCCCAGAAATTTAGGAACATGCCAATACTAAGCCAGCTGTTGGATTTCATCTCTATCAGCAGCCCAAAGTGCACTGAAGATGAAACAATATTTATCCAAAAGTTCAAAAAGGTGCATGTTTCATCAGTTTCCACTGAGATTTATAAAAACGGAATTCTCAGCTCTCAACTGCATTTGCACATAGTGGCTCAATGGATCTCTTTATCATCCTGGTGATTTGCCTTGCTTGCTTGATTCTCCTTTCTCTATTGAATCAGGGCAATGCCAGAAGGAAGCTCCCACCAGGCCCCACTCCTCTCCCTATTATTGGAAATGTTCTACAGATAAATATTAAGAATATCACCAAATCGTTAAGAATGGTAAGTATGATCTGAATGATTTTCTTCCAATTGTTTGCCATAAGAAAATAAGACTGTTTTATATTTAAATGAAATATGGTCCTAAACACCACATTCTAGATATGGTTTAAAGGGCCATGTCCATTGGACACCAAATACCATTTCAGAATGAGTAAAGAAAGGTTGCCAGAAGGGGATCCATGAGACCATTGGTGAAATTGTCAAAAGTAGGAATTCCATGTTCATATTGTGACCTGGGTATCCCTGGATGGTGGAAATGATGAATGTACTTGACTGCTAATGAAAGCTTGGGTCTGACAACCACTTCCGATGAATCAGGTATTGAAAACCTTAGGGAGCTCATTTTACCCTGACACCCAGTTGCCACAAGTCAGTATTGACTCACTGACAACTTTTTTTTCCATATAGTTTGGGGTTTAATGTAGAACATTTATCTCAGAGCAATATTTTCAGTGATTCATCTCCTATCAATGGGTGTAGAAAGTTTAATTTCATATTAATCTGAAAATTCCGTCTGTAGTTTCCCTTTTTGATCAGGATTCATCTATGTCTGGATCTCATGGCAAAGGAGGCAGTTGTTAATGGAGGCAATTAGCCACTTATCCCATTTAATCTTCCCATTCCTTTCCCATTCCCAGTCATTTTCCTTTCTCCTTTATTGCTTCACCCAAATAAAAACTAGCTATTGTACTTTGGATGGTTAATTACAGGTCTTTAAGACCCCAGGCACTACCCAAGTGACTGGGAGATTGGATGGAAGCACTAAGCAAAATATTAGGTCAATTTACTGGGATGCCCCATGAAGCCATGATCACAAATATTCAAACCAAGAAAGCAAAGCCCATGGTTGTACATCAATGGCTTCTTTTTGTTATTTTTTAATAAATATACCTGTCAAACAACATCTGCCAATTCAATTTTTTACAGGTGTACAGCTTATTGGCAGCAATTGTACTAATTAAATCGGCTGTGTAACCCTTGCCCTTAATGAATGCTAGTTGTCCATTACTGTAAGCCAAAACTCAACTTTCCATAAACAATTCCTTTCTTTCCCTGTTGTTCTTGTTGCTAGGTGTTGTTGATTAGTTTCCACTCAGAGGGCCTCAGGTACAGCAGAGCCAGGTCCTGCACCATTGTTCCTATGGTTTAGCTCACTGTTCCTCTGTCAATTCAAGACCTTCCTCTTCTTGAATTTAAAAAATATGATATTCTTTTCCAGGAAAAAGTCCCTCTTGATCAGGGGTCCTCAAACTTTTTAAACAGGGGGCCAGTTCACTGTCCCTCAGACCCGTTGGAGGGCTGGACTATAGTTAAACAAAAAAAACTATGAACAAATTCCTATGCACACTGCACATATCTTATTTTGAAGGGGCAAAAACACCCGGCGGGCTGGATAAATGTTCTCGGTGGGGCGTATGTGGCTTGATAATATATCCAAAATACATGAGACAGCCTCCTTCCTAAGGAGTGTTCTAATTGTACTTCTTCCAAGAAAGACCCCGTTGTTATTCTGGCAGTCCATGCTATATTTCATATTCTTCATCCACACCATGATTCAAATGCACTAACTATTCTTCAGTCTCGCTTGTTCACTGACCGGCTTCTGTAAGCACACAGGGCAACTAAAGCTACCGTGGCTTCAGTTAGGCAAATCTTAGTCCTCAGCATGCCTTTCCTAGGTCCTCCATTTAGTAATTATTCTTTGGTGAACTCTAAGGGCAATGACACTGTTTTCAAGTAAAAAATAAAATCTACTGACTTGGAAATCTATAATAAGAAAAGTTTCCTAAAGGACTCACTGACTCACTGTCACTCACTCACTGCCTCACTCACTCACTGTCTCACTCACTGCCTCACTCACTCACTCTCACTCACTCACTGCCTCACTCACTCACTGTCTCACTCACTGCCTCACTCACTGACATTCACTCAGTGACTCACTCACTGACTCACTCTCACTCTCTCACTGCCTCACTCACTGACATTCACTCAGTGACTCACTCACTGACTCACTCTCACTCTCTCACTGTCTCACTCACTCACTGTCTCTAAAAAGAAAAAAAAAGAAAAGAAAAGTTTCCTAAAGATGCACTGATTTGAAATCAAGGGGAAAATAAAGGGCTCTGTTTTCATAGTTACTATTTTATTTGCTGAATAATTCCATCAATGACAACTCTGCTCTCAGCGATTATAAAGCAACAGCTCTTTTCTGTTAATTTATTTTATTTATTGTTGAAAATATACACATAAGATCATGCTCAATTCAGCAGTTTCTACATGTATGATTCATTGACATTGATTAGCTTCTTCAATCTCTGCCACTGTTCTCACATTCCTCTTCTCAATTAACGAACTCATGGTCCTCTAAGTACTTTTATCTAACCTTCTGAGTTACTGTTGTCAATTGTATACAATATCAATAGTTCTTAGCAATAACTCTTTGAAGATGAAGAAGCAGTGAAAATCTGTCTCCCACCCCTGGCCCCAGGCAGCTAGTTAACAGAATACTGCCCCTATTGGCTCCTTCTCTTGTGCCTTGGTGTCTGGATTGAAAGACATAGTGTTTGCACCCCAGACTAACCATTTACTGACTCTCGGCCTTGGACAAGTTTAACTTTTTTCTGGGTTTTAATTTCCATATCATTAAAATTAGAAGAATAATTATTTTGAGTATGTTTTAGACCAAACAATTTGTTAAATGCCTAGTTTACACTAGGTACTATGCTAGGTGCTGGAGACTTTGAAAATACAAATATAATTCTGCTTCTACTCTTTTTCAGTTTGAGGTCAGTTGTTTGTTAGAGATCCTGAAAGAGGAACAATGTTTTTTGTAGTCCAGGAGTAAGTAAAAATCGTTATGCCAGATGAGATTGGAGATATAAGCAAGGGCCAGATAACTGCTAGGAGTTTAAGAGCTCTGGTATTTATCATAACAACAACCTGATGTCATTAATGTGTTTAAAGCAGCACCATATTAGCATTTACATTTGCAAAAGAGCACTCTTTCTATTAATAAATCATTTTATTGGGGGCTCTAACAGCTCTTATAACAATCCATACATCAGTTGCAACCAACTCATTTGTACATATGTTGCCATCACATTTTCAATACATTTTCTTTCGGTTTGAGCCGTTGGTATCAGCTCCCCCCCAATTATAAGTAATTATAATTATTACAAATAGATGAAAATTATTACTTTCATATCTTACACCATGCAGTCTCCTTTTGTCCATGTTTCTGTTGTACATCCCCCTGGAGGGTGGGTTATATGTCGATCATTGTGATTGGTTCCCCTTTCCCCCACCCGCCCCTGCACCTTCCCCCTACCCTCATGGTATCTCTACCCCCATTATTGTTCCGGAGGGGTTTATCTCTCCTGGATTCTATGTGTCAAGAGCTCTTACCTGTACTTGTGTACATGCTCTTATCTAGCCGGATTTGTAAGATAGAATTGGGGTCATGATAGTGGGGAGGGGAGCATTAAAGAACTAGAGGAATGTTTGCTATGTTGCACCTTGGCTGACTCATTCCTTGTGACTCTTCTGTGAGGGACTGTCCAATCATCTACAGAGGGGCTTTGGGTCTCCTCGCCAACCCACATAATTTACATCAATATATTTGTTTGTTTTGGGTCCTCTGATGCCCGTTACCTGATCCCGTTGACACCTCATGATCACACTGGTGTGTTTCTTCCGTGTGGGCTTGTTTCTTCTCTGCTAGATGGCTGCTTATTTAACTTCAAGACTTTAAGACCCCAGACACTATATCTTTTAATAGTCAGGCACCATCAGCTTTCTCATTTGCTTATGCACTCATTTTGACTTCAGTGACCATGTCGGGAAGGTTAGCATCACAGAATGCCAGCTTATTAGAACAAAGTGTTCTTTCATAAGGGACTACTTGAGTAGAGACCCAATGCCCGTCTGCTACCTTAATACTTAACATTTAAATATATGTACATAGACCTATATCTCTATTTATGTAGTTATATGTTTACATATGTACATGCTTGTGCTTGTACCTCTATAAATGTCTTTTGCCTCCTAGTTCTTTCATCTATTTTGGAAAAGATCACTCTTGTTGCTTTAAGGAGAATGGATTGCTGGGGAAAGCCGTCCAAGGGTCTAAGACCTGTAGGTCTTAGGGTACTGACTAAGATGTCAATGATAGAAAGACCCCAGCCATACAATCGCTTAAGAAAGATAAGACTCTCTTTCTATCTCACATAATGATGCACAGATGAGCACTGGTGCCTCTCTCCCATGAGTTAATTCAAGAGATCAGTTTTTCTCAATCTTGTTGTTTTATCATGTTGTGTCCCTAGGCTAATATTCTCATGGTCATAATGAGGTCAAACCCAGGTTTCCATTTGCACCCCTATGTAGAAAATAACCTTGTAAAATATTTATTTTGTTATTGTTGCTGTCACAAATCAGAACACATGCCAATTCAATAGTCTCTACATGTACAACTTAGTGACACTGATTACATTTTTTGAGGTATACAACCATTTTCACCCTCCTTTGCTGATGTAAAGATTTTGCATATCAATTCTGCTAACATCAGTTTATGGAAACTTGGTGAAAGGAGAAGTTGGGGAATGTCTGAGACTAAGTGACCATGTTGTCATGCTATTAACAGTGGGAGATTTCTGGCACTGCAAAGTGGGTATGAAGAATGTATGAGGGACAATCATGAGACTCTCCATGAGGAAAGAGGAGCACTGGTAGTGGTAGGGTAAGCACTGGGCTTCTGACAACAAGATCTGCAATTCAAACCCACCAGCCGCTCCCCAGGAGAAATATGAGGCTGTCTGCTCCTATAAGGAATTACAGTCTCAAATTTCTACAAGTTGGAATCAACTTGATGGCCCAGGATTTTTTTTAAATGGGGAAGAATGGAGAGACTTCCCTTAAAGAGGAAAAGAAACATACTGTAACTGTTGAAAGGAAGGAGAAAGATTGTGTAATTATAGATGTCTAGAAACGCTTATAAAATTATATGAAAACTGTCCATAGCATTGCCCCTGTCATATTAACAGGAGCTGACTGAAGGATAATAGTCAGTGATGATGATGATAATTTAATAATCACTGTTTATTACTGATTCTAAGATTTGAATTATTTCTTTTTTCACTATTTTATTTCTTTATATTTATCATTTTATTGGGGTCTTTTTACAAATATTATTACAGTTCATAATTCAGTTAGTAAAGCATAATTGTACAGTTTCTACCACCATCAATTTTAAAACATTTTCTTTCTTTTGAACTCTTTGATATCAGTTCCCCGTTATCCCTCCCTATCCACCAAGAACCCTTATTGTTACATTATATATATTATTGTTAGTATATGTGTCTATTGCTGTATCTTACACCAACCAATGAATCTGTTCACCTGAAATTCTGTTACTGTTCTCCTCAAATGGGGTTATTCAGTCATCATTGCTATCAGAATCCCCTTCACCCCACTCTCTTTCTGTACCCTCAGGGAACCATTACTCTCCTTACTGTCTCAAGGGTTATCTATCTTGGCTTTCATGCATCAAGTGATCTTAATTATACAAATGAATGAAATTAAATAAGTGAATATTTATTATATAAATATAGGATATAAAATATGTAAATATATGAAGATATAAAGATAGGTGTATTTGTCTATGTATAATATATATATATATATACACACATACGTACATACGTAACTACAACAAGGAAGCAGATGGACTTTGGGCCTCTACTTAAATCTTATCTCCGTAGAGGAATGTTTTTGCTTCCCCTAATAATGTGGCACTGTATAATACACACCCTCCTAACACCATCACTGAACACAGAATGTGTGCAAAAGCAAATGTGGTGAAGAAAGCTGATGGTGCCCAGCTATCAAAAGATATAGCATCTGGGGTCTTGAAGGACTGAAGATAAACAGGCAGCAATCAAGCCGAGAAGTGACAAAGCCCACATGGAAGAAGCACATCAGCCTGTGTGATCATGAGGTGTCGATGGGATCAGGTTTCAGAACAAAATCACACCAATGTGAATTGGGGGCGGGGGGTGGGGGGGTGACGCATGGAGTGGAGACCCAATGCCCATCTGTAGACAATTGGACATCTCACAGAGGGTCACAGGGAAGAGATGAGCCAGTCAGGGTGCAGTATAGCACTGATGAAACACACAACTTTCCTCTAGTTGTTAGATGTTTCCTTCCCCCCACTATCATGACCTCAGTTCTACCTTAAAAATCGGATTAGACCAGAGCAGTCACACTGCTACAGATAAGAGCCTGCAACCCAGGGAATCCAGGATAGATAAACCCCTCAGGGCCAACAATGAGAGTAGTGATACCAGGAGGATTAGGGGAGGGTTGGGGGAGAAAGGGGGAATTGATCACAAGGATCAGCCTATAACTCCGGCCCAGGGGGCCAAACAAGAGAAAAGTGGGTGAGGGGCGATGGAGGATGATGTAAGATATGAAAATAATAATCTATAACTTACCAAGGGTTCATGAGGGTGGGTAGGTGGGGGAGGGAAGGGGAAGAAATGAGGAGCTTGTATCAGGGGTTCAAGTGGGAAGAGAATGCTTTGAAAATGATGATGGCGGCATATGTGTAAATGTGCTTGACACACTGGATGAATGTATGGATTGTGATAAGAGATGTGAGAACCCACAATTAAAAGTATTTAATTAAAAAATATATATATAAAGCATCTGGGGTCTTAAAGTCTTGAAGTTAAACAAGTGGCCATCTAGTAGAGAAGCAACAAGCCCACATGGAAGAAGCATACCAGCCTATACAATCATGAGGTGTCATGATTCAATGGAATCAGGTAACAGGCACCAGAAGACCCAAAACAACAACAACAAAAAGCATATTGTTGAGAATGAGGGGGGGTCAGAGCAGAGACCCAAAACCCATCTGTAGACAATAAGACATCCCCTCACAGAAGGATCAAAAGGAAAGGATGAGTCAACCAGGGCGCAGAATAGCACCAATGAAACACACACTATTCCTCTGGTTCTTTGAGGCTTCCTCACCCCCTGCTATCATCACCCCAGTCCTGCCTTTCACTGTGGGCTAGACTGGAGCATGTACACAGGTACAGGTCAGAGTTCATGACACACAGAATCCAGGTCAGATAAACCCCTCAGGAACAGAAATGGAAGTAGTGATACCAGGGAGTAGGGAAAGGTAGGGACAGAGGGGAGGAAGGGGGAACTGATCACAATGATTGATGAATACCCCCCCCCCCAGGGGATGAACAACAGAAACATGGGTGAAGGGAGACAGCTGTCAGCGTAAGATATGGTAACAATGATCATTTATAATTTATCAAGGGGTCACGAGGGTGGAGGCAATGAGGAAAAAAAAAGAGCTGATACAAAGGGCTCAAGTAGGAAGTAAATGTTTAAACCTATAAATATATTCATAGGTTTAGTATTAAGGTAGAAGATGGACATTGGGCCTCTACTCAAGTACTCCCTCAATGCAAGAACACTTTGTTCTAGTAACCTGCCATTCCATGATGCTCACCTTCCCGACACCATAGCTGAACACAGAATGGGTGCAAAAGCAAATGTGGTGAAGAAAGCTGATGGTGCCCAGCTATCAAGAGATATAGCATCTGGGGTCTTGAAGGACTGAAGATAAATAAGCAGCAATCGATCCGAGAAGCAACAAAGCCCACATGGAAGAAGCACACCAGCCGGTGTGATCATGAGGTGTCGATAGGATCAGATATCAGGTATCAAAGACCCAGAACAAAAAAGATCATATCATTGTGAATGAGGGGGAGTGTGGAACAGAGACCCAAAGCTCATCTATAGGCAATTGGACATCCCCTTACAGAAGGGTCACGGGGAGGAGACAAGCCAGTCAGGGTGCAGTATAGCACCGATGAAACATACAACTTCCCTCTAGTTCTTTAGTGCTTCCTCCCCCCCACTATCATGACCCCAATTTTACCTTACCAATCTGGCTAGACCAGAGCATGCACATGGGTACAAATAAGAGCTGGACACACAGGGAATCCAGGACAGATAAATCCCTCAGGGCCAATATTGAGAGTAGTGATGCCAGGAGCGGAAGGAGAAGGTGGGAAGGAGAAAGGGAGAACCAATCACAATGATCTACATCTAACCCCACTCCCAGGAGAATTGACAACAGAAAAGTGGGTGAAAGGAGAGATCAGTCAGTGTAAGACATGACATAATAATAATTTATAAATTATCAAGGGTTCATGAGGGTAAAAATGAGACGCTGATACCAAGGGCTCAAGTAGAAAGATAATGTTTTGAAAATGATGTTGGCAACAAATGTGCTTGACACAGTGGATGGATGTATGGATTGTGATAAGAGTTGTACGAGCCTCCAACAAAATGATTTTAAAAGCAGAAAGTAAATGTTTAGAAAATGATGATGGCTACAGCAACATATGAACAAATGTGCTTGATACAATTGATGTATGGAATGTTTTAAGAGCTGTAAGAGCTCCCAATAAAATGATTTTAAAAAAAAGATACAGGGTCTGGGGTCTTAAAGGCTTGAAGATAAACAAGCGGCCACCCATCAGGGAAGCCACAAAGCCCACATGGAAGGAGCGTACCAGCCTGTGTGTTCATAAAGTGTCAAGGGGAATAGGTATCAGAAGTTCAAAAACAAGCAATCAAATTGACGTGAAGGAGCGTGGACAAAGTGGAGACCCAAACCCACCTGTAAGATAACTGGACGTCCCTCCCGAAGGGCCACACAGAAGAGAAGATAAACTCAGGTACGGTAGAGCACTGATGAAACACATAAGTGTCCTCTAGTCATTTAATATTTCCTCTCCTTACTATTATGGTTACTCATTAATCTTGTTCGACCCGAGTATGTTCATTTGGATAAGTTTGTTCGATGCATGAAATATTTTCTAATTGATAGATGAAATATTAAAATGCCTCTTCAGTAAATTGGTAATAACCACCCCCCTACATTTCTGTTTTTAAAATGTACACTGTTCTTGTATCTCTTTTAATTTTTCAGCTAGCGAAAGAGTACGGGCCCGTGTTCACTGTGCATTTTGGCATGTCCCCCACTGTGGTGTTATATGGATATGACGCTGTAAAGGAAGCCCTGATTGATCGGAGAGAGGACTTTTCTGGCAGAGGGAGATTTCCCGTGCTTGATAAAATCACTCAGCATTTAGGTATGTGTCTATTTGAGGAATAACCGTGAGTTTGGGCATTGTAAAAACTCTAAATAGGCCAGTGAAATGAGAAACTACAGGCATCGTGTAAACATTTCCACAATTCTAAGTCCATATTTAAAAATCCTGAAAGGGGCATAATATCCCCACGACATGTTAAATACAGTGACAGGAAACCACGTAAACATGCATGCTCTGTGAGTTCCTGAGTAAGACACATCATTTACACTGATGGTGAGAAAGGAAAAAGAAAAAGGGAATGTGTTGTGGAAGGGAAAAGATGCAAGAGGAGGAGATGGAAAGAGAGGCAGGACTACGCTACCTTTTTATGAAACATGTATCATGCGTGAAAGCAATATATGTTTGACATATTTCCATTCTTGCCTACAGTGTTCTATACTTCTAATAAAGCAAAAGCCATGTTGGATTTGAGTAGAATACTAAGTACATACATGCTCTGAAATACATTTAATGGAGAAATAAATAGTAAATACAGATTGTGGTAGATATGAAAAACTTTAAATGAAGTACTTAAAGCATCTTCGAATTGCTTTTGGAGCTGACCTACCTGTCCAGTTCTCCAGTGGGTTCCGGAAAACACCTGTAAGCGGTCATTGTCTCCTTTGCGATGTTCTCCAAGATCTTTCCTAACTCTGGAAGTCTGATGTACAGTTCCCTTGTGCTAAGACCACTTTTTACAGAGTTTCAACAAAACACCAGGAAAATGTTACAATCGGGGGCTGTCTTTCAAGGCCCTGTGTTCCTTAACTGAGGCTTAAGTGGCTCTGTGAGCCTCATTCTAATGCTGAAGAGTTGTTCCGCCTCCGTCTCATGAGAATTGACTTTTCTTATCACCTCTCCCCAAATGCACTTGTAATCAGAAATGGCTACGATTGAGCATAATTTACTAGGTCTGTGATCATGGATCTCACATTTTCCCTCCACAATCTTCAGCCGCCTCATTAGTAAAAAGGGGCCCAAACATTTGCTCCCCAGAGTTATTTTGAAGGTCAGAGGAGCAAAGAGAGAAGTGTTCTGTGATTTAGCAAACCAAGAGTTCTGATAGTAAACGACAAGGCCAGGTAAAGAGAGGAGGCAGGTAAGGTGGGAGTCAGTGGGAATTCCTGAGACCCAAACCACATCCCCCTTTAAGTGTCTGTATTATTTCCTGGGATGAGGGCTCCTACCTAGAATTATAAAATGGAGGATATTCTCTGCCGCCCCCCACCCCCTCCCTACAGGAATTGTTTCCAGCAATGGAGAAATCTGGAAGCAAACCCGGCGCTTCACCCTCATGGTTCTGAGGAATATGGGCATGGGAAAGAAGACGATTGAAGACCGAATTCAAGAAGAGGCCATGTGCCTGGTGGACATGTTAAAAAAAAAAAAAGGTAAATGTTACTTTCTGTCATTTCCAGAAATAATTTGGGTAGAATAAGTGTTTTAACAAATAGATGAAAATAGCAGATGAGGATTCTAACACAGCAGGAGTTCATTTTTGCTCACATAAAGGCAGTCAGAGGTGAAACGGTTGGCTGAAATGTCTTTGGAGGCACTGGGTTGAGGTTCTCACGGCCATCGAGTCAATGCTGGCTCCTAGCCACCCCGTGGGCGCCAGAGATGATGACTGGCTACAGGAGTAGAAAGCTCAGACTTTCTCCCACGGAGCTGCTGCTGGTTTTAAGCTGCCAACCATGCGGATTGCAGCCTGATGTGTACCTACTGTGCCACCAGGGCTCCTGTCATTGGGATGGTCGGGACTTTGCTATCTTCGACATAAGGTTTCCAGTGGTACCAAGCATTCATCTCTTTGTGGTAGTAGAAGGCACAAAAAAACAAGGAAATGATCAAATAATAATTGTAATAGGCCAGCCAAGGAAATGACAAACAAAACTTCTCTCACATTCTGTGGAATGTAACTCGTCACAGGGCTACCTCTAACTGCAGTGGAGTGGGTACATGTGGCTAGACGTGTGTTCTGGCAGGAAAGAGCACAAAGACGCTATCCGTGTTGGTGACGTTGCCCTGAAACATTAAATGATTTCTCAGGGGTCTCTTAGGAAACATTTTATTTCTTAGGAAACTGCTAAATCCGTCTCCATGTAGAGGCCTGTGTTACAGCTCACCTGGAGAACTGTGGGTGAGAAGGGACGTTGCTGCAGTAGCAAAAGTTTCCTGAATGTGCATCGGAGTATGTGAACATTCAGGGCTGAGTGTGGGGGGGGTGGGGGGGCACGACCTATCTGGGAAGAAGTGTGAAGAGAAGGACAAGCTATATGTGATTCTATAACTTCCATATGCGTCTAAAAGCCTTCGGTATCAATTACAACTCAATGTAAAGAAGACCCAAATGCTTACAACTGGACCAGTAGGTAACAACATGATAAAATAGAGAACAGGTTGAAGGTGTCAAGGATTTTGTTTTGCTTGTGTCCAGAATCAATGCTCATGAAAGCAGCAGTCAAGAGACCAAAAGATGCATTGCTTTGGATGAATATGCGACACAGACCTCTTTAAAATATTGAAAAGCAGCGAAGTTAGTTTGAGGACTAGGGTACACCTGGCCCAAGCCATGCTATCATCCATTGTCTCATATGGGAAAGTTGGACATCGACTAAAGAAAACCAAAGAGGGACTGACACATTTGAATCGTGGTGTTAGAGAAGGAGATGGAAAGAACCACGAACTGTTAAAAGAACAAATGGATCTGTCTTGGAAGAAATACGGCCAGAGTGCTCCTTAGAGACAAGGATAGCAAGACTTCATCTGACATACCTTGGACACCTTGTCAGGAGAGCCCAGTCCCTGGAGAAGAACATGATGCTTCATCAAGCAGAGGAGCAGGGATCGACAACAGAAAAGTGAGTGAAGGGAGA